TCCAAAGGGTGGGGCCCTTCCCCCCTGTGGGGAGTGCGTCCTCCCCCCACCTCCCCGGGTGCCATCTCCAGGGTCCTCTCCGGGGCCTGGGGCCCTTAGTCCCGCCCGCTGCCTCCCCGTCCCCGCCTCGGCGGGGTCCGCGGCCCTCCCTGCCCCACGACTGTGTCCCCGACACCCACCCGGTCTGTGCCTGTGCCCCGAGGAGGCACCTTGCCCCACCCCAGGCCTCCCCGCGGGGGCTCGCTGTGGCCCTACCCTGTGTCGCTCTGGGGTGCGCCGGGCCGGGCCCGGCCCTGGCCCCGTGGGGCTGGGAGGGCGGCACGGGGATACTCTGCGGCGGGACATGCTGGGGACGGCGTCCTGGTTAGCGCTCCTGGGGCAGGATGGAGCATCCCGGTGGCGCCTTTGGCCTCAAAGACTCTCACCTGAAGAAATGAGAAACTGCATGTTCCCCGGGTGAGTGCTAGGGAGGAAGAAGAGCTGGCTCCCCAGCGAGCCTCTCCAACGGCACCGGGAGCAGCAGCGAGGATGGAGCTGGAGTTCACCAGACCCTAGCAGGGCACTGCGACAGCCTGGCTGTTAATCCTTCCACCAGGGTCTTGGCTTGACGGCTCTGGTGTTGTAAAAAGGAGCTGATGGGTCTGAAAGGTGAATGGCAGAGCTGCAAGAAGAGTTGAGACAAGGCTGAATAGTTTCCTGAATGCCTCCAGGGTCTGGGCTGGGAATGAGGGGTACAGGAGTGGGGAAGGCCTGTAGTGCTGTGCCAGCCTGCTGTCTCCCTGCCCATCCGGGCTGTGGATATCTCAATTCAGCCCCACAGTTCCACATCAAAACTCTCCCTACGTGAATCCCTGTGATGTGGCTTCTCTTTCTCATTGCTGTGTGCTCCTCTCTGAGCAGCTGTGTGACATCTAGTGGCTCCTGGGCAGTCTGGGGGAATGAACAGCTAGTTGTTGGTCTGATTACAGGTTTATCTAGTATTTTTTCTTTGACTCTTAGCAGTTGTAGGCAGCAGATAGTGACACTTGTCTGTCCTTGCATTGCCCTCTTACTGCAGTCCTTAAGTTTTGTACTAGGCATACTTTGTTGATGACGAATTGGCCCCTCTTGCTCTTTGGTCATGCCTGGGGTCCTTCTCAGCCTAGCAGGGATCACATTGCAAGGAGGATTCGACAAATGCCACTGTCCCCAGATAATGATGTCTGCATGGAGATGTCATGTCACCAGTGCAGGTCGGGGCTTTGGTTGCCATACATGCCTGGCCAGGTGCCATTCCTTGGCATTTCCTGGGTTCCTCCCCTGCAGCAAGTCTGGGAGTATTTGGCAGCTTCTTCCCAACCTCAATCTCTGTTTCAGCTCCACTCCTGAGCTCTGAAAGACTGTTGTGTGGAGTGAGGTGGTTGCAGTACCTCCAGAAGAATATTTCCCACCCTGGTCAACGTATGGAAGAGTCCTCATCACGTACTGAAGGACAGACCTCAGAGCTTCTTCCAGTTCCAGATATGTTTTAGAAGAAAGTATCAAGAAAGGAGGACAGACAAAGAATTGATGTGTTTTGAACTAATGAAGAAGTTCTTGTCTCCTTGCTATGTGTTGATATTTTCTGCTTGTTCCACTCACCCCTAGTCTTCCACCTTTGTTTTATTTCTCTGCCAAAGGCTGAGAGTGTGGCCAGGCTGCCTAAAACCGGAGTGATCTGTTCTGACTGCCCATCGGTTCCTGTGCTGCTGGCCAAGCTCTCCCCAGGTCTCACTGTGTATTTCTCCTGTGCCTTTTCTCCCATTGTGAAGCTCAGTTAATGCTATCCTTTTGGTTCGTGGTCTGCTCAGATCTTCAGGAAGGTGCTTTAAACCTCCACACTGAAAGGCTGTAAAACACCTCATCCCTTAGCTGGTTGCTTTTAACCCAGACACATTTCCCAACTCTAGTTTATGTTGCAGTACAACTGCTTCTGTAGCCCAGATGATGAGAAAATATGAATCAAGGATGTGAGTGAGGGCAGGGATTTCCCAGCTTCGCTGCTGGGGAAACAGGGCTACATGGACTGCTGTTGCTGTGTGGCGGGTCCCTTCTGGTGGTCTGGGGACTCTTGTCAGGGCAGAAGAGCTGATACTCTTCAATAGTGATGAGGACTCCATGCTCTGGACCCTTCGTCCTTTGGTGTGGTCCCTGCACTCTGGTCACAGCCACATCAGGCCGCCTGGGACAAGTGCTGGGCCAGCCCTTTATTTTAGATGTCCCTTGTTGTGCTCTCTCCATAGCAAAGCTGCAGCCCTGGATTTTCTGCCTAACCCCACTGGATCCCCTCACCTCATTCAACACTGCTCTGATGCCCTGAGAGTGGTGAGAAAGTCCCCTGTGAACTTGAACGCATAAGCCTTCAGTTACCAGCCCAGCCTGTGTGTGTTCAGAGGGAGGCATATACTGCGGTGCAGAGTGAGACGGCAGCTGGATTCCAGCTCTCCAATGATCTGGTCCAGCACCCTGCTGCCCGTAATGTCTGCCAGCCTTGGGAACAGGAGTGCCTTTCTTGCAGGGCAGCGCTCTGCATAGTTAAAGGATAATTTTGGGCAGCCATGCACTTCTCATTGCTTCTCTGTTCAGCATGGAGTAGAGTTCAGCACCGCAGTCACTGAATTGAAATTACTAGCCCCAGCGCAAAGGCTGGGTGCAAATGTAATCCCGGGATGCAGGTGGAATTTGCTGATGCATCCCCACAGTGGGTGGTTTCTCACTGGTATCTTTTTTTTGACCTGAGTCTTGATTAGAAGAGAAATAGGTCGTCATCTTGTGCCTCTGTTTTTGCACCCAATACATGGTTCTGTAGCTGAGAGGGAGCAGTCATGCTTAACTGCGTGGCAAAGCAGCATGCCAGGCTGTCAGTCCCTGTGTCACTGGCATTTCTGTGGTGGCTGAGCTGTTTCTGAGCTGTCTTGTCCTCATGGATGTCTTCTCATGGCTAGCAGGACCCTCTGTTCTTCAGCTTCAACTTGCGGGTGACCTTGGGTGCTGCTTTGTCTCAGTGTGTGACTGCACTCGAGGTCACTTGTTTCCTGGAGCTGATGTAGGCGAGGGTTGTTTCTGTGCTGTTAAACGTAAGAGTTTGTACCTAAATACCAGGCATAAGAGCAGCTTCAAGCACTTTCAATAAGTTGATTTCAGATGAATATGCTTCATCTTGCTGAATTGAAGAGGTACAGACCCTTATTTTGAAATGTATATTGGTTTTAAAACCTGTTTATTTTGTGTTGTTGTTAACTTGCTTGTTCAAGCTTAATCAGAAGCCTCAGAGCTGCAAGTGAGGAACTTGGTGTGAACTAATTTAGAAAAAGATGTTATTCTTTCTAATCATAAAGAGCAGAAATTGCACCCTGCAATGGCATAGAAAACAATAGCAAATCACAGTTGCCTGACTCCCTGCCCCTTTGCGACTTTGGGTTGCGTGAGGCTGACAGCACATTATCAGGTCAGCCTGCAGCTCATACATTTGCAAGCTCTCGTTATTTTAAGCATGTCACCACAGCTGTGTTTAAAATAACCTCCTCAGCCAAACTCATGTGACGGAGGGATGATGTGCATGCCTGGGCTCTTAGGGTCTCGTCCTTTCTTGTTAGAAATGGGTCTGCGAACTGCTGCCGCTGCTGTTAGGGAAGCACATGCTGCAGGGAGGCTCGAGTTGGAAGAAGGGACTTCCACTGACGCTTGGTGGGGTACGCACGGGCTGGGGTGTGTGGTGGCCCCTGCGCACCTGTGATGTGACATTTGTAAAGGCTGTGGCAATGCTCCAGCTGACGTCCCAAAGCTTGCGAGCAGGCTGCGTGATAATAAAAGGTGCTAGCGAAATAGTTGTAAGCAAGTGCAGCTGTACGGTCACTCCAACAGTGACAACTTTGACCTCTATATTGTATGTCAATAAGTCCAAGCCAAAATCCATTAATTACTAGTAATGATGTTTGGGTTTGTCTTCCAGCCTGGCCAGTTTACCCTGGGCTTTTCTCAGCTCATGTTTCTACAATAAAATTTCCAAGTGTAGTTTTATTGCTGTTGCAAGCAACAGAATGGACTCCTGCTCCTTTGCCGTAGGGTTGGGTTGGCAGAACTAAGAATTGCATCAAACCGTGACCTTCCTCCACCCCAAAACTCTGACCAAGTCATACGTAAAGGGGAAACTTCCCCGACTGGTAACCAGCGGGGATTTACCTTGGGGCAAGTGACGTGGTTTGTGCCTAGAGCCACAGGGACATGGCAGCTGCTGTCCTGCGGTGGCCACAGCCTGGCATATGAAAGTGCCTCTGTCTCTGCCGGTTCTCCTGGATGTTCAGCAGCTGCTTTGCTGAGTTGTCCTTGCAGCGAGGACAGGAGCTGGTTTGCAGAGAGACATCAGAAGTGGCTGTGCTGGCATGCAGGAGGTGGGACAGGCACCATAAGCTGTCGCTTCCAGTCTCTGTGTATCCTGACCTGTCCCAAGTGGGGGAATGTTCTTCCTTCCATCCTTCCTGAGCTCCTGTGTCTCCACTTGGAAACAGCAGTGGTAACTAGCCATTGGCTGGCACAGTCTTCCCCTGGAAGCTGTACAAAAGGCCCTGACACCTCTTTCTGCAGCTGCAGCTCCGCAGCAAAACTGTTCTGGAGAGGGGCAAGCTCGGCATGTTCCCCCTCTGCTGCGGGGCTGGGGACCAGCCCTAGCCAAGCAGGTGGTGGCAGCTAAGCTACCACTGTGCCCGTGCCTGTACTGGCCACATGTGTGCTGCTGTTGTCACTCCAGAGCAGGATCACACAGGGCTTCTGCTGGCATACTCACACCTGTGTCTAAGATGGCTGTCGGATTCACATTCCTTGTTACAGCTTCATTAGGCAAATCACTTTTATTTTTACAGCAGGATGATCCACTGATAGGTGTAAAGCTGGGTGGAGATGAGATATGGGTGGCTTTCACTGCAGGTGGGTTTTGCAAGGTCATACACAGCCGGGTGAGAGCACAGGCAATGGCCAGGCTGACAGCACTTGTGGTGATGCTGCAGTGACAGGCCCCTCCAGGCAGGGACACTGGGGACACTTTCATTCACTTTCTTGGGTTTTTTTTGTTCTTTTCTTTTCTTTTTTACGTTTATGTTTGCTGGTGTGCTGGGGTTGCTTTGTGGTTTGAGAGCGCTTACAACACAGTTGCATTGGTGAAGGGAATGGTGTGTGGAAATCGAGCTTTGCTTGGTTGTTTACTGGGGAAACTTGAGCTGGGCAAGTGGCAGCATCTGAGCCACAGCCTCTTCACTCTGTGCTAATCACTGTGAATGTCACAACACAGCTGGCTTTGCTGCTGGGCACAGATTGGGTAGCGATCGGAGAGTGTGGTACAGCTTAGTTGTACGTGCATGGGATTCCCTTCCCCAGGGTTTGGAGCCCCTCTGTGCTGCAGCTCGCAGAGGGACGCAGCCACCTCGTCCTCATCAGGAGCACTCAGCATGGCTGTACAAGCGTGAATGAGCGGTGCAGGCACAGGCATGGAGTGGACCTGACCCCTTCCATACTTCCTTGCAGAGCCTGTCAGGGCATCAGCTCTCCTTGAGGATGTATAATTCCTATGGTATCCTGCGTGGGACATTCCCACCTCGTACAGCCTCCAGTTGGGATGTTGCTGACCTGGTGTGCACTGGAGACTGGGGCCTGATTCACAGGTTGAGGTCTGGCTGATGTAGGTCTGTGCAGGGTGTGGGTCTGTCTGACCCAGCCCTGTGCTGGGTGTGAGCCACTGTCATGGCACTACAGAGCAACCTCAGGGTCTCCTAGCTACACTTGAACTGCTGTAGCCAAAGCTTGATTTTCAGGTGAGAAAGGAGTTTGTATGTGTACTGCAAGAAAACCAAGAGGGTGATGGTTGATGCTCTTCTTATCCTTCTTTTTATACTTTTTTTAAATATGCAAGCTTGTGAAAGCTGGAAAGTGGAAGAACAAGCCAGCCAGCCTGCCTGCTTGGGATACAAATTCCTATTGCGGCTGTATCCAGGGGCCCTCCAGGCATGTGTTAAAGCAAGACAGATATCTGGCGCATGGTTTGTTTTCTCTTTCCTTTCTCCCCAGGCACGAGGATCTTACAGGCATGGTGCAATAGTTCATTTTAGGAGGATTCAGGACACCTGCATCTGCAGCTCTGTGGTCTGCCAGTTGCTTCTTGCAAGAGACTTTTCTGTAGGACTGTAATGGGGGAGGAACATGTGTGTGCCAGTCTCTTCTGGAAAGTGACGTGTTGATGTTAGAACAGCCCTTTTGCTGTTTGCTCCTTGCTGCCTTCTCAGTCCTGAGCTCTTCAGGATGCCCTCAGCCCCCAGTGAGCTTTGCCATGGGGTTGCAAAAGTGAGAAACATGTTCATTTTAAAAGGAAGGGCTGAGGTTCTCGCCTTGTTGTGTGACCTTGGGAGCTGACTTTAAGGAGTGGGGAGAAGAAAAAGCAGCAGACATTCTGAGCTTGTGGTGGGGTCGAGAGAGCTGGTGGTGGAACACACGTTGCAGTTTGGAACACAGACCTGTGGGAGTGGGCTCTGGCTGCCATGCTGGGACCAAGGCTGATGGGCAGGCAGCCTCTCCGGCAGCCTCTCCTCGCAGCTGGGGCTGCTGCCTTGTGGCCCTGGCTGGCAGCCAGGCACACCTACGTGTTTGCAGGGTACAAGCTTTCCTGCGGATGGTACTTTTCCCAGGGCCTTCTCTAAGTTGTCCTTCCCATCCTCTGGTTTCATGTTAGGTGCCAGCTCTTCCACTGACTTGGTCTGAGGATGCTCTAGGGGAGCTCAGCATCTCCACAGAGACGTGGTTTTTCTTCCTGCAGGGAAAGCAGCTCGCCCTGCTTCCTTCCTGGTGCACTGGGCTAGGTGTTTTGCCCTGCCAAGGGTACCAGGGCCTTTCATATTGTTGTCTTGTTTTAGGTCAGTGAAGATGCTGCTGTAGATGACTGACTCGCTCGTGCCTTATGTGCTATGGCTCTACATGGCCTCTGCAGGAGCAGAACACGCTAATCTGGGCCCTAAACAGGAGAAGAGCTTCAGGATCAAGTCAGGCACCCTTCTGACAGGGAGAGCTCAGCCACGCCAGACCTGGCACCTTGCTCAGCAGCAGGCGAAACCCATCTGGAATTTAGAGAAGTATGTGAGTGCTTTCCAGCATTGTGGCCTGCTGCCCTCAGGGATCCCTCTGCAGCAATCCTGCTTCCTGTGCCCACCATCACTATGCCACGCACACCCCAGTGAAGACGCCCTCCCGATCCTGCCTGTGGCCCAGCCCTGCCTGGACCTGGGCGAGAGCACTCTGCTCCACCGACGCTCCTGTCTCAGACCCAAGCCCTACAGGTTTCCTTTCCGAAGCCCTCCGGACACCGGCTCTGCCACGGGAAGGGTGATGTCTTCCCTGGTGATGGAGCCCTTCCTGCTGCCTGCTCTGGTGGAGGAGCACTCTGGGTCTGGGGTCAAAGGCTCTGCCCTCAGCTCAAGTCAGCAGGCTTCCAGCTCCTATAGACCAGTGCTCAATAATGACTCCTTCCTACGGCCAAGTGGTGCTAAAGTGCCTTTGCTGCAGTCACTGGAGATAAAGAAAGTGAAAAACACCCTGAGTTTCCCCACTGCCTCATGGCCCCACTCCGAGGATGATGGAGACAGCTCATCAGGCAGCCTGGTCAATGTAGCAGTGAAAAGCAGCAACCTTGTGTTGGAGGAAACCGTGTTCCCCTCCCCGACCTTTGTGCCCAGCGGTGCAATGCTCAGGGAGGACCTGTGCTTGCAGGAGAACACTGAGAGGAGAGTGCACAGCTTAAAAGAGAAGGAGCCAGAGATCAGCCTCACAGAGACTGTGCAGCAGCAAGCCAGACACACTGCCACACTCAATGGCTTTGGACATGTCGAAAGCTCTGGCCTTACAAACGTGGGCAGCCTGTCCGACTGGAAAAGCAGGTGGGGGCAACACATCATAGCGCAGCTCACACCGAAAGAAACCATCACTCCTCTGAACGTGGAGCTGGGTAGCCATCACCTTAACGGTAACTCGAGCCTTATAGGCACCGATAGTGCCGTTGTCTGCACTAAGCATATCAGCGTTCATCTCTTGGCCTCACGTGCTGGCTCTCCCATCTGCAGTGCCGACTGCCAGCTTGTGAGCATGCTGAGCCCCTGCAGCGGGGACCAAGTGGTGAGAGCAGAGCCTCCACACCTCGCTGCTGTCTCTGAAGTGGCAACTCAGATGTCCACCATCCAACTGGAGAAAGAGGCTGTGCTCCCGGGAAAGCTCGAGTAAGTAGAGCCAGAAGGAGGGAGGCCCGCCCTGGTGGGCTGGGCTGGCTGTAGTGTCTGTTTGTGTGCTGGGAGAGGGTGTACTGTGAGCTCTACAGGGATGGCCATAAGGATAACCATGGGCTGCATCCCCGAGCAAAACCATCTGTGTCATCCTGGGGCAGAGGGAGCCTTTCTGCCACTGCCAACTTGACACAGGCACTCAGGGTGGCTCTGAGCCCTTCCATCTTCTCCTTCAGCCACAGCGTGGAATTGCTGTGTGCAGCCACAGCGTGGAATTGTGTGGCATTTCTAGCTTGTTCCCTGCACAGTCACAGGGCCCTGCTTGCTGTGGCAGGCTCTGCATGTATGTTGAGTGAAGCCTGCTGTCAAGCCAGGTCCAGCAAGGCTTTCCTGGGCAGACATGGGTTTCTAAAGGAATGCAGAGCTGACACAGGACAGGGAGGGTGCAAAGATATGGAGATCCTGCTCTCCTGCTGGGAGAGGATGTCCTTGTGCCTCTTTCTTTCTGGATGCTTAGGGTGCCCTGGGGCCTCTCCATCTTGCTAGCTTGAGATGAGTGCTTGTACATCAGCACTGAGGCGGGCAGTGCCGTCACCCCTTGCCCACATTATCTCATGCTGCCTCGTGGGCTTCTGGTCTTCTGGCCCAGAAAACATGTGCCACTCCTTCTGATGGGATGTCCTTTGACCCAGTGTCACTGCTGAGCAATCGCCGCTGGAGCTGAGCCATCCCCAGGATGAAGCAGAGGAAGAACTTCCTGATGGCCTGGACGAGAGCTGTAGTCAGGAGGAGGATGAGGACAGTGAGTGCTGGTTCCCTGGGGAGGGCTGTGCTCTGTGCCTCAAGTGGGGAGTGTAGGAGCCATCTGGGAGCTGGGGGGTGAGAAAAGCTGCCCTCCTGTCTTACACTCATGCTGTCATTTCAGGATGACCTAGAGATTGTGCTAAATCCAAAAATGATGTTGCAGCAAGGAGGAACTGCATGGGTTCCCCTGGGGAGCAGGCTAGGGTTCACTACTGTCCTGCTCCAAAACTTACCCATCTCCTTTCTGTGCAGGGTGTCAGCTCCACTCCCTGCTCTGCCTTTTATGCCACCAATTAGTGGGCAAAACTCAGGGTCCAAGGATTCAGGGCAGCTGGGAAGTGTCTGTCCTCTGGGGCATTTGTTTTCTCTTTTCCCTTCCTAACTCTGTGTGCATCCGTTCCACATGGAGACAAAACTTGTGTCTGTCTGCTCCTGCAGGTGACTCTGATGCTTCCTCTGTCGCTGGCATCTCATCCAGTGGCTCTGTGGCTCTTGTATCCAGGTTGGTATCTGTAAATAGTGCATTGAACTTGGCATCTTTGTCCAGACTTGTCTGTCTGCCCTCCTTGGTGACAGACGAGAGCTGTAGCATGTTGGGGGATGGAATGAAGGTAACAACAGGCTTCCCAACCAAAATGAGATTCCTTGCTACCCTGCAGACCAAAGCTACCTCTCTTGCTCTGGACAGCAGCCTGCAAGGTGCTGAGGGTGCATCCAGCACAGTGAAACAGGGGTCTTAATTTCACTGCTGATGCCAGTTTCTGGGTTAGGTTTACTGGATTAAATTGTGCTTTTGCAGCGTTATCCTGCAGATGAAGCAGAGTGGAGGTGTCCTGGGCTGGAGACTGCAAAAGCTTCTTGGGGTCTTGTGTCTCAACATTGCATCCTAGAAACGAGCCTTGGAGTCTGGGTCGGTCTTTAGCTTTTGGAAGGAGGTTTTTCTGGGGAGGATTGGTCAGCTTGTGCTCCTCTGAGCCTGCCTCCATGACACCTGGCAGACCTTTGTGGGACCCATTCCTGCCCTCCAGCAACGGGAGCTGATCCTTGCAGCTGTGCTGCCCCCTGCACCAGGGCTGCCTTGGGCTTTGCTGTCTGCTCAACAATTTGCTGCTTTCCATCATGCCATAACTCACCTGGGAGATGAGAAAAGCTTCCTGTGAGCAAGTGTTGAACCTCAGGGTGCTGCTTGGCTCTGGGTGTGAAAGTCATGCAGAGGTGACATAAATTGGACCAGCAGCTGTTTCTGGCAGGATGTGACTGGTTGGCCTCTGGGGGCAGATGCGAGGAAGCATCACTTGGACCAAATGCCTCCTCCGGTGGGGGCGGAGGGAGGGTTGTCGGTCACTTCTCTGTGCAGGCTGTGCGCTGGGCTGGCCTCGAAGCCTTGGCAGCTGTCTCCTGCCTTCAGTCTGTTGTGGGTAAAACCAGTTTTGTGTCAAAGAACGTTGATCAATATAATTTATTGCCAATTAACAGAATTTTAATTACCTATTCAAGTATTGAAAAAAAAATATATATACTCAAGGACTTAGGAAAAACCACTTCTTCCCCCATCTTGGTCTCCAACCCCCTTGCTGCAGGCTACACTCAGTCCCTTCAGCGAGGTGAGGGCTGCCCTGGAAGATGGGGGTCAATGTGTTGTGGTTCCTTTTCTTTTGCTGCTCTTTGTTCCTTAGTGGATTGCTCTGGTGTGGCTTCTTTCACTGGCTGCAGTGCATAGTTTGAATATACGTTCATTATAAACTCTACTTTTAGCATCATTCCAACCTTAATAGATATGTTATAAATTCTACCCTTCCTTCCATGTGTTAGGGATTGCTGTGGTGAGAAGGTGTACATACAGTCGGTAAAACTCCAGTCCTCTTCCCAGCAACACACCAAAACCAAGAGGGTTACAACAGCTGAATCATATATGCATTACAACCTCCACCCCTTGTTCCTGTGGATTAGGTTATAGGGTTTGTCATGTAGCAAACACCACCCCTTGCCCCGGCAAAACACAAAACCTGTGGAGGTTATGACACTTGCCATGTGAGCTCATTGCAAGGTCGCCTCTTCGTCGCTGCAGACTGGGTTACTGACCTTAGCATCCATTGCTTGCACCACACGGCAGCGATGCAAATTCCCTATACCAGGATCAAGGCTCCTTCCAGCTTCCCCCTTCCTCCATGTGCTACTATTCATCTTTAGCCAACTGCCTACTGCTTCATCTCTCCTAGGAACTGCACTGAGTGCCTGGCACAGCCCGCTGAGGCTCAGGAGAAAGTGCTCAAACCAGCTCTTGTCTACAGTTTATTCCCTAATGTGCCTCCAACCATCTACTTCAGTACTCGGGATGAGAGAGGTGAGCCAGTGTCTGTTGCTGTGCAGGGTGAGAGTGGCCAGCCCATTGTTAGCCAGCAGCGGTGCCAGCGCATAGCCGGGACCTGACTGGCAGTGCCTCCCCTTCACCCTTTCCACGATGAGACCCAGCAGTGCTATGAGATCCAGAGGGCTGAAGTAAAATGATGGCTGCAGCCTGGAGCATGAGTCAGGCTGCTACCAAATGATCTGGTGCCCCGGATCTCTCCCAGCCATGCAGTCTTCTGCTCCATGCTAGTTCTGTGATGGGAGCTACACACCATCCTCTGCAGGCCTGGTGCCTGTGCAACAAACCATAAGAATGTCCCTGGGTGCAGCTGTAGAAAATTCAGGTATTGTGTTTCCTTCTGTCCTTACCTTTTTGCCTTTCTAGTGGAAAAGCTGCCTTGGGAGCAGAGGAAGCTGCTGCGATGGAAAATGTGCACAGTCACACCAAACATAGTGAAGCAAACCGTTGGCAGGTCTCACTTCAGAGTCAGCAAAAGTGAGTTGTGGGAGGCTGGCAGCATCCGACATGTCGTGTCCTCCCTCACCTCCAGCCCATGGCGAAGAGCAGAGCAGGAGCAATACAATACTGCAGGATGCTGGGTTCCTGTTTCTGCCTGTTTGACCCTCAGTATCTGAACTCTGTGCGTCCTGACAGGGCGTGATCTCCCCCTTAGCTTGTCCCTGGCATGGGCCACAAGGGCTTCCTCATGGGCTGTCAGGAGCTGAGGCCGTGTATGGGGCAGCAGAGCTGTGCTCCGGCTTGTTTGAGCTGTGCCTCTAGATGGTGCTGCCACTCTTAAGGAGGCTGGCACTCATTTGGTGCCAGCCCCAGCATTGCTGTCCCTTGTCCCCATGTGCTGAGGAAGAAGCCATCCTCTCTGACTGTAGCCAGAGAGTTCTCAGGGTTGGGATCTTGTCGCTGAGGAGATGTGTAGGAGATGGCTGGGCCTGGGGAAGCGCTGAGCATTTGCAGCTGTGATCTGTACCCTGGAGCATGATCTCCCAGCAGTACTTAACAGGGCTCTTGCGTGTATCAGGAGTCCTCTGCACAGACTGTTTTGGGGCTATAATGGGACACTGAAGGCCTAGCAAGACCTAGGAAGTCTTGCAATCCTACATGTCCCTCTGCAGTGCAGCACTGATGAGCCAATTGCTTCATTCATCTGCTGTAAAGCAGGGAAGTCAGGGTGCTGGGGGATTAAAGCCATTCCTTTGATCCTGTGTCTGCCCAGATCCCTGCAACAATCATGTTTGCAAGGATATGACCCACCTGGTTAACTGGATCCCACTCACAGCCCTTGGTTTGGCAGCTATGCAGTAGCCAGTATGTGTGCTTTGTGTTGTTGCTGTGCAGCATCCCTGGCATACTTCTGCTGACCCCAGGAAATGGGGTGCTGGTGGGTTGAGAGGGTGTTATGCATGGCAGAGTACTCGGTCATGGACTTCTGGTTTTCCTGCAGAAAGCAACGACTGGCTGGGTTGCTGGGGCCACCACATGAAATCCCCCAGCTTCAGAGCCATCAGGGAGCACCAGAAGGTAGGGGATATGTTGGTCTGACCTCCTTCACCTTTATGGAGAGTGTGTTGGGAGCAGTTTGGGTGCCCCTCTCTTCAGGGCCAGGTGTTTGCTGTGCAGGCTGTCCCTGAAGTGTCCCTTCCAGAGCGTGGCAGCTGGCATTCCTGTGCTGACAGATGAGCCCAAGAGCCAGGCACAGCTGCGTGAGCAGCCCCACTGTGAGGGTTGCTCTTGTACAGACTGAGGCTGTAGCCAAGCCACGTTCACTTGTGAGCTTGTCTAAATTCAGTCATTGTTGCTTAAATCCTTCCTCTGGCAGAACTGAGTGGTAGGGCCAGTGCCCTCCCTGCCAGCGCGGCCAGAGGGGATGATCACAAAAGGGTCAGAAATGGCCCATAGCTTGGGAACATGCAAGGGACCAGGTTTGATATCTATCACACATACATGTTCTGGAGAGCTATGAGGCTTCAAACTTGGTCTTGAGGCAGCATCCAGGTTTGGAAGCTAGAAGCCTCCAACCCTGTTCCTGTCCCACTGTGGGATCTTCCTGCCCCCAGAGCTTGTGTTGCATGGGCAGGACTCTAGCATACAGTTTAGAAGCAAGTGGGAAACCACTGGAGTGGAGGATACTTCCAGAGGAAGCTCAGAGGCTGAGGGTTAAGTGCCCTGCAGCTGCTCAGACATCAGAAGGGACAAGGTGGCAGCTTCTGGCTTTGTAACCAGTGTGGGTCACTGTGTGGGTGTTTGTCTGTGCAGAGCTTCAGGAGCAGGTGGGTCCTGTCTTGGTGCAATCCTGGGAGTGGGGAGCAATGACCATTACCCTGCATTGTGTTCAGAAAGGATGTATCCTCTGGCCAGGTAGCAACAAGGGGTGGGCAGGGAGGTGGGGAAGCAGGGAGATCTCACAGCATCTGGGTTCCTTTTCAGCTAAACCACTTCCCTGGTTCATTTCAAATTGGGAGAAAGGACCGTCTGTGGCGCAACCTGTTGAAGATGCAGGCTCGCTGTGGAAAGAAGGAGTTTAACTTCTTCCCCCAGTCCTTCATCCTGCCCCAGGACATCAAATTACTCAAGAAAGCATGGGAGGAAGGAGCTAGCCACCAGAAATGGATTGTAAAACCAGTAAGTGCAAAGCAGAGCTCAGTCTTCTGTCTCATTGTAGCTGCAGGGAGAAAGTCGAATCCCTTCTTGTTTGTGTTTTGCAGCCAGCATCAGCCAGAGGCATTGGTATCCAGGTCATCCACAAATGGAGCCAGCTCCCCAAAAGGAGACCACTGCTGGTACAGAGGTGAGTGAAGGCAAGCAAGGCTGGCACACAGGGCCTCCTAGCATCTAGTCTCTCTGGCCAGGTCTGGGCCGCTGCCATCATGTGGCAGAGCAGAAGCACCTCATTTGTATCGGGGAAATTTCTCAACTGCCTGGGTGTAATGCTGCTGCTGGAAGTCTGGCTCTGTCAGCTGCAGCTGGGCTTATTGGAGTGCTGCTGTCTCTGTGCAGGTTTTTGAGGTCTTGGGTACAAACTGGCTTCACGGGCTTTCTGGAGCTTCTGTCTGGCAGGTGATCAACTGCTCTGCTGTGATCCCATTCCCACAGGGGTTTGACATCTCTGGGGTGCTCTGGGGTTTGGCATCTTTGGAGGCAAACAAACCTTATCCAGTGCCCACAAGTACAGTGGGAAGAGAAGGGCCAGGGAAGAGGTGGCAATTGTCAAAGGTTTGTTATCCTAGTTAGAATGGGTCAGTAAGAGCTTCTCATTGTGTGGGTGTTGGTCAAAGGGTTTTCCAGGATTTTCTGAATCTCCTTCCCCTTCTGCAGTAAAATGGAATAGCTTCTCTTGGTGATCTCATCTTGGGGAGCCTTGTCTTGAGGCTTCTTTCTGGGAAGGTTCTTGTGAGGGCAGGAAAACTGTCCAGTGTTTGGCAGATCGAGCTGCTGTGTTGGCTTCTCTGTTCTCCCTGTCCACTTCCCATGCAAAGTGATAGGTTTCCTGTGGAAAATCATTAACTTCTGAGGTAAATAATCAAATGATTTGGATGAAAATTTCTAACTGTTTCTTCTCACTGAACCAAACCATCTGTGGCCCACTGCATGTCTTAAATGTTCTTGATTGTGATCAGTCTTGTGGGTGTGGAAAAGCTACCGTGCCTTAGAGCTGGGGAAAATCTCTTCAAAATGGAACTGAGCAGAAGGGAATACTGCTTCTGTGCTGCAGGATCTCCCTGTGCATGGGAAAGCTTTTTTCTCTCTCATATTGACTGTGGTGTACTTGGAGATGCTCTGCAAAAGGGCTTCTGCATTGATCCCTGGTTTTGCCAAGCCTTCTGAGGTGGGGGCTAGAGATGTTCCTGCACACAGAAATCATAACCCTTCCCCTGGTGCTTGCTTCTCTCTGCAGATATCTGCAAAAACCCTACCTCATTGGCGGGAAGAAGTTCGACTTGAGGATCTACGTTTATGTCACTTGCTATGATCCCCTCAGGGTCTACCTGTTCAAGGATGGATTGGTTCGCTTTGCTAGCTGCAAGTAGGTGGTGCGGGAGAGCAGTGCTAGAGAGCTGCCTCAGCGCTGAGGCACGTGTGGCTGTGGTATCCGCCTCGGCTGGGGCAGGAGGCAGTCGTCCTGCATACCGTGTTGCTTAAAGCTTTAGCTTGCTTAAGAAGCAGTCTGGAAACACGTGGGGTCGCTGCAGGTCACAGCGTTAAAAGGGAATGTGAGAGGATACTGCGTTCATCCACCTTTCCCAAGGCAAGATCATCTCGGTGTAAAGCAGTTCTTGAAATATGATGTCTGTGCTTCATACTGCATAACAGCTGGCATACCAGAATATGAGATGTTTCTCCCAGTTTTGACTATATTGCCTCTGGCTGCTGCAGTTCCATCAGTGCTTTTGCTCGCTGATGCTTTGGTCTTCTCTTAAGGGCGTGCTGTGAGGGTGGGATTGCATCCCATTGCCCCAAGGTAGCCTGCTCTGTGTCTCATGCTTTGTCCTGTCAGCTCTGGGCCCGTGGGGACAGAGAGCTCCAGGCAGCCTGGGAAGTGGAGGCAGCAGGGCTGGTGGGCTGCCAAGAGTAGTCTGAGAACAGAGTTTCTGCCTGTCCAACGGGCCTGGGGGCAGCCAGTTCAAGCTCAGACTGCTTGTGCACCTATTTCCTCCTCCAGGTACTCCTCCTCGATGAAGAGCCTCAGCAACAAGTTTGTGCACTTGACCAACTACAGCGTGAACAAGAAGAACACAGAGTACAAGTCCAACTCGGATGAGACTGCTTGTCAGGGACACAAATGGTAGGTGCTGCTTTTAGGGCACAGGGCAGCTCTTTCTGTTCCATTTTAAGTCAGCCTTTTTCAGTATTCCTACCAAAAACTTGAAGGTGCTTCCTGTATTGTCTGCTCCCACTTGGGGAAACTGGAAGAGCAGAGTAATTTTAGCATGGGATACTGTTGATGAAGTCTGGACGGACTCCTTGGCTTGTCACTCATTCTGTCTGCTGCTGCTTGGGCTGTGGTTGCTCTTCATCCTGCCTGTGTCTGTGCTGTTCCCTGCTTCCAACACTGCTCTCTTATGTGCTCGTTCATCCCCTTGCCCTATGGTGGGGGTGATGGGATGTGGTTAAAGAGGAATCTGATTTTTTGCTGTTAGAGCTTGAATGGGTAATTGTGATGCTTAAATTGGCTAGATGGAAACTTCTTCCTATCTCACTTCTGACTTCCATGTGGAAGCAGAGAAGGGGACATTATTGGTGAAAACCTGATAATTTATGTACTACTCGGTGTGAGTAGGAGAAGCGGTGCTATTTCTAGGCATTTGGGAAGAGGTCTGCAGTCTTGCAGGAGTTCCTGTTCCCTGCTGTCCCATGGGTGGATTGATCCAAGGGCCCAGGCACTTGTCTCTGATTCCACAGTGGTGTTTGAACTCTTTTAAAAATAGTGCAGGATAGAGTTCTCAATTCGTGGGCCTGGGCAGGGCTACTTCACTTCAAAGGAAGCTGCAGAACGTGATTGACTGTGTAGGATTGCTTTCTCAGAGCTGGACATGTGGCACAGTGGTCTGTTCTTCCACTGGGACTTTTGAGAAGGACCTGCTGTCCCCCCAGCAGTTGAAATCCCACGGGCTTGGGATTGTGTGGGTTTTCGTACCACTGTGCAAGTCAAAGCTGGCTGCTCCCATGTTAAAGGTGAGAGTGGCTGTAATCCACTCCATCTCGTATGCAGGAAGCGTGACCTTTGGATTCCTGGCTGTTATCCACATGGTCTCACTTGAGCAACTTCTAGCATCTTTGGCTCAGTGTCAGGGTAGCTTGCAGCACTTGGTGTGGTGTGGGAAACTCCTATAATAGCAGAGATGCTCCCCCCTACCATCTTGTTCTCCACATTTTTCAAAAATTTTCTCCACCCCCGAAGCCTCAGTGAAATGACTCTAGCTAAAAGATTTACGGGGGTCTTGCTGGATTCCTGCTGAGCTGTTTTGCAGTGTTGCGGGGGAAGGCCTGCAGGAAGGGGAGGTTTGCTAAGGACACAGAGCGGGAGGGAAGAGAAGATCTGGGCTTGACTTACCTTGCTCATGTGCTAATTTGGGACCTATTACTTCAGTGCTGGGACAAGCCTATGCCAGTTTTATGTTTCTAGTAGCTGGGGCCTACAAGACCAGGGTCCAGGCTGGGGACGGCAGCAACCAGGAGCTGAGGGGTTTGAGGGAGAAGGATGGCCATGCCAGGGAAGAGCTTTGTCAAGGTGCCACTCTGCTACTTTGACTCCCCTAGCAGAGCTGGGCAGCAAGGGGCTACAGAGCTACCTCCTTTGCTTTCTCTCTCTCAGGGCACTCAAAGCTCTCTGGAGTTACCTGACTCAGAAGGGAGTTAATAGCGAAGCCATCTGGGAGAAGATTAAGGACATCGTTATCAAAACCATCATTGCGTGAGTCTTGGCACCCCTTGCTCTGTGCCTGGCTGCGGGGTGCACCCTAGCCCCTTTGGCTCTCCAGTCCCTCTCTCAGCTCAGTCCTTTTGCTCTTAATCTAAATGCTACCACTGCCGTTGGCTTCCGTATTTCTCTCTGGATCCTTCCTTTCATCCTGTTACTTGTGCTCATGCTGCAGTATTTGCAATGGGTAAATAGACCTTACATTTCCTGGGTTTTCCTGCAGTGCAGGGGGGGGAGGCCAGGAGGGTGCGGTGTACCCAACACTCTGCCCAGCTTGCCACCTGCTCCCCTGCTTGGCCAGCGTGCCTAAGAAAGGTCCCTTGGCACAGGATGGGTCTTGTGTTCAGAGGTGGATCCTGCCCAACAGAGCAGGGATGCTCAGGATGCAATGCCGGATCCATACGCAGTGCAGCAGCAGCAGCTCACAGGCAGCCCACCCGCTCCCGCAGCATGTGGCTGCATACGCTCTCAGAACTGTCAGAGTGTGCTGTGAACAGCCAGAGCTCTGTTGTCTGACTTGGAAACAAACGTTTTTTCCTTGGCTTGCAGATCTGAGCCCTATGTGAACAGCCTGGTGAAGATGTATGTGCGGCGGCCGTATTGTTGCCATGAGCTTTTTGGGTTTGATATCATGCTGGATGAAAACCTCAAGCCCTGGATCTTAGAGGTCAACATTTCCCCAAGGTAAAGCAGATTCTGAACCACAGCAGGGTGGATAATGGCCTTTCTTTTACCGCAAAGTGGATTTGATTCATGATGTCCCCTGCACTCTGTGCTGAAAGACTGTGGGTTTTTAAGCCTCCCTGTCCAGATTGCAGCAATCGAAGTCTTCCCTGTCTGTGAAAGCAACACCCATCCGCAGCGCAGAAAGCTTTGCTGGGCATGCTCTAGCTAGAGCCAGGGGAAGAGTACGTTAAAAAAGGAAGGCCAAGTAGGGATGTGTCATGTAGGGAACAGGTGATGGCAGAGATTTCTTCTTTGCGTGGGCAGCAGTGATCAGCGGCTCCACTGCCTCGTGCACCACTCCCTGCTTGCTGACGGTGCCTGGCCACGCAGTGTCGGCTGCGCAAGCAGGGCCTGGAGCTGCAGTGTACCCGAGCACGGCCTCTCCTGCCAGCACGAGCTGGACACAGCTGTGGTCTCACACAGGGCTATGGGGAAGGATTTCCCAGTTTCCATCAAATCTAGGAAGAGGTGGAGAAATGAACTGTTTCTGGTAGGGAGCCCCCAGTCAAAGAGCTGTTGTCAGGATTTTTCTTTCAGTGTCTCATTGCTGGATGTGATGAGGCAAGGGACAGGCTGGGTTTTGTATCCTGGTTGGTATTAACCCAGGAAGTGATCCTGGGGCTGTGGGGCTTGGCACCTCCATTCCAGCACTTGGACTGCTGTGATGCTTCCTCCCTGCAGCCTCCACTCCAACTCCCCACTGGACGTGAGCATCAAGGGCCAGATGATCCGGGACCTCCTCAACCTCGCCGGCTTTGTTCTGCCTAGCCCAGACAGCGTGGCCTCAAGGCCACAGACACAAAGTGGCTCTACCTGCAGGTCAGCCCCCTTCTCTGTCAGAGAAGCATGCTTTTCTCTTGCGGGATTTCACCTAGGACCTGCTGGCAGCCCAGCAAACACTGATTTCTATGCTGTTGAGAACCTGTGCTTGCTGGTCCTTCAGCTATGGGTCTGAGGGACTTGCATCATTGCCTGGGTATCTAGTTCCTGTGGTCTCTTCAAGGCAGAAGGATTTATGCCCTCTCTGCAGGTCCATAGTTGGAAGTGAGGCCAGTGTAATTTGTGCTTGCTCTGCAGTTAGTTGAGTCATGCTCTTCCCTCCTTCCCCCTGCCAGAACTAACATGATGCTGAGCTGTACTGCCTCTCCATTTGCTTGGAGAGCTGGCTGGCTGTGCTGGGACTAGATCTGCTTACCCTCTACCCCAGGGCTAATATGCTGCTGCCTTTAGCAAGAGGAGCACCTGTTATTTTGCGAAGGCTGAAGTGATCCGTTCCTGAGGCAGGACTGCAGGTGTTGGAGGCTGTAGACCTATGGGTAGGGGTGTGCACAGTCTTACCTTGCAGCTAAGATGACTGTTTCTTGCATAAGGCTAGTTCCTGGGCATGTGCCCACCCAGGCCCCTGCTGTTTCTGTGTTTCACTGTAGTTTGGGCTTATACTGGTTTCAGACCTGATGGTGAGTGGAAACCAGTCCTGATCCCTGCTGCAGAGCGGCTGCTGGCCTTATGTCACTGAAGGAGCAGCTTGCTGGGATGAGCACCAGCATGCGGTGATGTATGGGCATGCTGAAAGATGGGACTCTTGCCCTCGGCCTGCCCTGTGCCTTCAGTGAAGGGAGAAGCTTGGAGCGCGGGCCAGTTCCAGCCGGGGAGCTCTCGCCAGCTCATCTGCGGCGCTTTGATCACACGCTCATTTGCGGCTTTCTACGGAGGTGCTGAAGGGCAGGTGTCCTCGGGGGGACCTGCAGGGGATTAAGCGGATCCTTAACATGGTTCAGATGATGCATTACCAGAGTTTCTGCATCCAGGAGCAAGCTTGCTTAACCATATCTCCTGCTCTGGGAAGGATATGAAGGTTTTTTTTGCATATGGGCATAATTCCAGGAGATATGTATGTTCCCCAAGCACCATGCAGCACAGCCTCAAAGCTCTGCTCTCCCTGTTTGGATCCACACACAACTAATTATTTTTATAGCAGCAGAACAAATTAACTGTGTTGATACAAGGGTTAAAAGGTGTTGGACAAGTGTCTCTCAGACTCTGGCATCTCCAAGTGGTTCAGCTGGGTGCTTAGAATAGTTTAGATGGTTGCTGGTCAGATCATACAAAAGGCCAGGATTTCCCATGGCATGTGGAGCTGGATCTGAATTCGAGTCTTGAGAGTCCTTGGATGTTGCAGGAGGAAGTTTTTGATCTAAGAGTTCTCTCCTTCCTTGCACAGTACCAGTACTGAGTACTCATATCCCAAGGCCTGAGGTTACAGTAAGGAAGCTGTGTTCCAAGCAGGATGAAGCCTGGTGGGATCTGATGCTTACAGGTGCTGTGAATTGGGTCACGGTGTGTCTTTGGCCCTCTTGCATCCTACGTAGGAGTGAATGCTGGATGAAGGAACACTGAAATGCCTCAGTGAGGATTATACAGGGCCCTCCCAGTTCCCCTGCCCACATCCTTCCTGGGTCCTGTGCTGATGCACAAGGCTGGGGGTGCATCATTGATCTCAGAACTATTGAAATCCTTGGAAAAAGCATTCTCTGCTCCACAGCATATTCCTGAGGGAGTCACTGCTCTCACAGAAGTAGCTGGGAGCAGCTCTGTCATGACAGGACTTGGTTTTCTGCACTTAAATGCTCTACTGCCTCTTCTTGTGTCCTCAGTCTGGGCAATGCTTTGAAGGAGAAGCCCAAGCCACCATCTGAGCATTTCATAGCAGAGAGGGTAAAGAAAGCCTATTACTTGACACAGAAGATACCTGACCAGGTATGACACAATCTCCTCAGATACTAGCACCATCCTGCCAAGCCACTGTCCCAACCAGTCCCAGTGTCTGTCCCTTGTCCCTCTCCAGATTGTGCCCCTCTGTGGGGACAGCTAGATGATGAGGAGCACTTGGGCTCCAGTGGGTTACAAGAGCTGGTCAGAAGTAAACTGGATTTTCTTAAGCCACTGCTGCACTGGCTCATTTTAGCATTAAAATAGCCATGTGCTGAGTGGCATGTTACCCACCAGTCCCCAAACAGGGTCTGAGCATTGCCTGTTCCTCCTCGTGTCTCTGTGCAGCTATCACAGCCTTTGCCTGCTGACTTAGGTTAGCAGGAACACTTGCCTTGTGTGCCTCTTGGCAGTGTCTGTAAGAGAGGTTGGGCTGCAGAACTTGGGATCTCATCAGCTCTGACAACACTGAGCCTAGATGTCTTCATTTTGCATGTGGTCTATGTCCCAAAGATCTTAGACCCATGAAGACCTCTGCCTGAGAGGGTTGGAGACGTGGGGAGGTGGGAATGGGGACTGACAAAACATAGTTCAGTTCTCCCTGACTTTGGGTTGCTCTTGTCTGCAGGATTTTTATTCCTCTGTCTTGGACATCTTGACCCCAGATGATGTTCGCATCCTGGTGGAGACAGAGGACGAGTATTCCCGTCGCGGGCAGTTTGAGCGGGTGTTCCCCACCCACATCTCCATGCGGTACCTGCGTTTCTTCGAGCAGCCTCGTTATTTCAATATCCTGGTGACCCAGTGGGAGCTCAAATACTACTTGAATAAACACAAAGGTAACTGCCATCTGAGAGCTCGGCACAGTCACTTGAGTCAGGCAGGCTGTCTGCCGGCAGTCGTGGGAGACTCTGAGCTACGCATGTTGAGGGGGAGCTGCCTGCCTGCACACTAGCCACAGGAAATGTGTTACCTTCCCAGACTGCTTCAAATATCATGAAAAGCTTATTCTGAGCTGATCAGAGGTACTGACTGCTGTGGTAAACACAGCACCAGGACTTCTAGGTGCCCCAGGGCTTAAGCAGGCTGGGATTCTGCCTTCAACCTGTAGCTCAGGCATGTTGCTGCATTCGTCTGCCCTCTTTTGTGGGAGAAACAGCTGGAGTCACTGGGCTTTGCTCCTTACAGGTGATATGTGAAGTGAAGGAAAAATTTGGCCTATTCCCTGGTCTCCTGCTGCTCTCTAATTGATTAGAAACTGTCAGTGTGCACACAGAGAGATTTTTCCTAAACATTAGAAATCTATCCATCATTTCCACCTTTCCAGGACACAACTCTGTATTTTATTAAAAAACATCCTTTAATGAGGCAGAGCTGGGCTGGACCAATTCCTTCTCACTTGGGCCTGTCTCTGTCAGTGCAGCAGTAGAGGCTGTTAGGAGAGAGAACCAGTGAGGTCTAGTGTGAAGGGTTAGAGAAGATAGAAAGAAAGAGTCTGTGGCTCTGGGCTCTCCATCCCGCATCTGATCTAGCTAGAGGCTCCTGCAGAAGCTGGCCCTCCACTGACATGACCCTATGTGTGCTTCTAGCCTGGCTGTCATGCAGAGAAAAAAAAGAATGCTTTTGTCACTTTTCACTGGTGTTAAATCAAATATCAAAGGGGTCAGTAACAGTCTTTCACAGAGAGGCAGTAACCTCATAGCCCTCTCCAGCTGCACTGTCAGCATGTGTCATCCTTTGCCTCGCTAATACCTTTGCTGGATGCTCTCCTGTCAGCTGGAAGAAAGATCCTGTCATTGTCCTCACTGAAGTGCTGCCCTGAACTTTGCCGCTCAGGCTGGGGCAGTGCTCCAGCTTCCCCGAAGCGGCCCAGTGAGATTTGCTCTACCCCCCTGTTGCTCTTCACCTCTAAGCAAAACCCAACCTCCCTCTGGCCCCTTCCTATTCACGTCTGTTCTGTGCAGCCCTCCTCTCTCCGTGGCCAGCAAGGTGCAAAGCCCAGGCTGGTGTGCAGAGCCAGGGCAGGGCTGCCGAGCTGCCCTGCTCCTCTCAGCCCCCAACACGTGGGGTTTTTTTCCAGGGTTCTGGGGCTTGCTGAAAGGTCACTGAGGAGCAGAGTTTGGACAGCAAGGATCCCTCCTATAGCCAGGACTGGTATCGTGTAGCAATCCACAGTAACCCCAGCTGGACGGCGTCAAGTTCCTGGCCATTGATCTGCTGGTTCTTAAATCTCAAGGCACCTTAGTTTGTGCTATGGCTCTAGGGCTCTTAAAAAAAAAACCAAACCAAAACCAAACAAAAAACAAACAGGGAGGGAGCAGTCCAGGATTTCTCAACATTTCTGGATTAGCAGAGAACAAGGAGCTTGGCTGTAGTGGGGACAACTAGCAGGAGGCCTTGGAGGAAGTGGAGCCTGTTCAGTGCAGTTGGACACATGGCTCTGCTTCAAGGTGACCTCCCTGTGCTCTGGAGCAGCACATCATGTGTGTGTCTGGAGGAATGGTCCCTTCCAGTCACACCACCAGTGAGCTTGGTCTGTGCCAGCCTTGCTCTCTGCCAGGGATGGAGACCAAATTTCAGCCCATGTCGAGCCCTGGGTGGATCCATGCAGGGAGGAGATGATGTGCTGGGCTGCTGCAGCTCATCGGTGCTGTGCAAGGAGGAGGTTGTTCGAGCTGCCCTCCTCTGGGAAAGGGGCCGGTGACAGCAAAGCTGATCTAAATTTGCACTGTAGGAACTTTCACCGGTGCAGCCCAAATCAGGTGCTACCGTTGGCAGGCACCAGGCTCAGGGGGACTGCCAGTCTGGTCTAATTCGGCAAATCCTGTGTTGCCCCAGTTTTCCTGCTTAGCTGAGCCTGCTGCACGGTGTGTCTGGCTCCCTGGGAGGAAGGCAGGCACTGCTGCAGCCCACGTGCCGGCGCTTGCTGGTGTTTGCTCGAACAAAGGGTGAATGCCCTTGGTTTACCCCATGTTTGCTGGGACTCAGGCACGTGTTCAAGTAGTTATTACATAGCATGTACTGCACGGTCAGTTCGCTCCGAGCAGTGTATTTGCATGCTTCAAGCTGGGAAGACTTAACTCTCTGCTAACTTGGTTGTTTGTTCTTGCTTCTTGTCTTTCCTATCACTGCCCAGGTCTGGAGCTACTGAAGAACTGGTGTGTCAAAGGCTACCACACTGGGGCCGGGGTGGATTTGGCCCAGACGGTGCGTATGGCTATGGATAAGCTTAGGGAGAGGTGTTTTTTTGCCTGGGCAGGGTTGGGCAGAGAGCCTGCTTGTTCCTGTGGCTTTTGCCCTACTTGTTTGCCCTCTTCTTCCCCCTCTGCCAAGGCCTCTAGGATTCTGGAAAAAAGCCCTGCTTGTCCATCTCACACCAACATAAAGTCCACACAGTATATCTGCAAGTACTTTGCATCTGAATATCCTTGTGTGCACTGGGCACAGCCCTACATATTTGGCACCTGGCCTGCCCTTTATTCCCCTCTGTGAGGGAGTCATCTCCGTCTGTCACTCCTGTGCCTTACAGCAGGCTGATCCAGTGAAAGAAACCCACTCTTTTGACCTCGAGATGCTCTGCTCCCACTTACAGCAGAGGGATTCATTAAGCAGAGAGCAAAGACTGTTCTGTTTGCTATTCTGGGAACAGTCTGGTGGCAGTGATGATGCACAGCAGTGTGAGGCAATTCAAGCTGAAGCACACTAGGGCAGCCTATGGCAGAGCACAGAAGGCTTGAGGGATTTTTTGCCATGACTTAAATAGCCATTTGGTTGCCTTTCTCTTGTCCTGCAGTGGTCGTTGCCAAAGTCTTTCTTCCTCCAGAAGAGCAGTATTCAATCGAATGGCTTCAGCAAACTGGAACTGGGTAGACTGGGGTGAGTTAGCACTGGCCATGACGTGCATATTCACAGCGTAGATTTGGAACTGGTGTACTGAGAGAGAACTGTCATCAGGGAAAGCAGCTTTCTTTAAGGGGAGAGGAACAGTTGACTTTGCAGGTTCTGAAGCCAGCCTCCATGCTCTGAAGAGCCAACTGGTGGGGCTGACATGATGTCTACATGACTGGGCACTGTGTGTCCAGCTCAGATGGGAGTGAGGCCCAGAACAACCAGACTGGGTGATATTTGGGGTTGTCGTGCTCAGGACACGCTGACAAGATGATCCCCACAGGGACACCCACAGGGTCTCAGCCGCAGCATGGAGCTGGGGGCAGCAGTGAAGCCTCCAAGACTGCTGCACTCTGCCAGCTTCCCTGAGCAAAGCTGGGCTGCAAAATGGGTGCTGCTGGCCCCAACAGCTTCCTGCAGAGAGGTGGAGAACTAGGGTTTGTCTGGGTGAGCCAAAGTGGAGGGCAGGCACACCCCTGGTCTCTGGTGTTAAGTGAAAGGGCATTCCTGCTCCTGTGACCGGGCCAGTATGGTGCTGGGTTTATGTGCAGCCGGGGAGATCAAGCTGTGACCCTAAAGTCCCATCACTGTCTTGGATGTCTGTTGGGGTGAGTAGTGGTGCCTGGGATGGGAGGTTGAGTAGGGGAGCCTGGCAGCCCTGTCTCTGAGTCTGTATATAATGACACTGCAGATGAATGTTGATCCATGTCCCTTTTGATCCTTTCTTGCTGTCCCTAAGCAGCACGGGGTCTCCTTCCTCCTGCAGCACACTCCTCCCTTTGGCTGGTGAGGACCTCACGAGATGCCTGGAGCCCAGCCCTACTCAGAGCTTACCTCTCAACAAGTGCACTGGTGGAGGCGACCAGAAACCTGCTGGCTGCCTCTCAGACACTGCCCTGGTGATGTGACCAGGCAGCCACCGTCCCTCCCCAGGGACACCTCAACCTACCTCAAAGGAAGAGACGGGAACTGGCTCTGGAGAGCAAGGACTGTGGGAGCCCCCTGCACTGCACCCTTGCTTGTGGGGCTGGTTTTAGAGAGGGATGTTGTACTGGGAAGAGAGCTGTGTGGCTTCCCTTTCTAAAACAAATGACAAAGCCTGGGAAAGTGGGCTTTGTCTTTGTCCTAGGCTGTTCTTAAGGCTTGATGTGATGGTGGTGGTTTCTTTGCTGTGTGGAAGCTAGCTGAGCTTGAACTCAGCCTGGTCTTCCTGTCCCCAGCCAGCACGGGCTGAGCCCTTACCCACCTGTCTCTGTGTGCTTGTCCTGAGCTGCTGGGAGCAGGGTCAGTTTCTGCCCTGCTGCAGCCTGGCTGCTGGAGAAAGGTCCCCAGCCACCACCCCGCTCCTCTGGAAGGAGCAGGGCTTGGGACTTTCAACCGACCCATTTCATTTTTTCTGAATGCCTGTGCCAACATCCTGCCCTCCCACAGCCTCTGAGCCTGGGGGAAACTTTGGGCTTGCCCATAGCTGCTTGAGGAGACCAGCATAGCTCCAGTTTGTGATGGGGACAGTAGTGCTGCCAGGGAGGGAGCATCCTCTCGAGGCTGGTGGCTCTCCTGGGTGACCTGCAGCATGTGTGTGGGGACTGCAGGCATCTTCTCCTGGGCTCTGCTCTCTATTTTCCCTTTGTTTCTCAAGGATTTCTATTAAAGTTTAACACTCAGCTGCTCTCTGTCTGCCTTCATTTCCCTGACGTGTTCAGGTCTGCAGGGCAGCTCGGCTCTCCCCGTGCTTTGCCAGGCTCTGGTACAGGAAGGGTTTGTGCCACCACCCTGCCATTCTGCTGTCCTTCTGGGGGTCGTTCTTGCTGCCCCACGGCAGGTAAGCGTGCCCCACTGCATGGGGGAGCAGCTCCCAGCATAGCTGCTGGGGTCTGAGGTCTGAATTATGTCCCGGGGACTCTCCTGCAGATCCCTGAACAAGGGGACAGAGCACCCCAGGCTTGCAGCAGGAGAAGGGAGGGTTGGGTCCCCTGAGCTGTCACTTGCCAGTTTGGGGTTGTGTCCCCCGAGCCTGGCAGGAGGATGCTGGGCGCTTGAGTGGGTTGCTTGGGGCCAGGGGAGGTGCTGAGCCCCAGGGGTGGGCCCTGGGGCTTGCAGAAAGCCATTCCCTCCGCCCTCCCCGCAGCCCCCCGCTGCCCAGAGCTGGGCCCTGTTTCTCTGGTCTCCTTGGTGACAATCTCATCGCTGCTCGGCTTCTCTCCAGCACCTGAAAATAGCCGCCGAAAGTGGAGATGCCTGCTCCTTTCCTTTCTGCCAGCACCCGGCGGGAGCCAGCCTGGAGCCAGGCTGCACGGCTCAGCGCAGCTGTACGGGCCTGGTCCCAGCCCACCCCCTGCGCCGCTGCGGGGCAAAGGGCCACCCAGCACCGGGGCAGCCGCTGCGTCCTCACATCACTCCAGCCCTGCTGACCTGTCCCCAGCACCCTGCCTCGTCCCTGCCCTTCCTCCCTGCCTTGGGGTAGCACCAGGGGACAGGGGCTTTGCTCCTTGCGCCCTGCCATGGGCCAGTGTCCAGCTGTCCCCGGGAGTCAGCCAGAGCCGATTTGTCCCCTTGGCCTGGCAGCCACCAGCCCGCTTGCCCATGGCTGCTCCTGAGCCGGCACGGCAGCTGGCCAAGGGGTTATTTGAACCTTCTTGAAATAGAAATGGAGCCTGGAGAGAGCAGAGGGTGGACAGGAGGGGGTGGCCCTGTGGGCGAGGAAGGAGGTTCCCCAGCAGGCACCAGTTGCCCCCCCTCTGAGACCTGGGGTGGCTAGGGATGGCTGAACCACAGCAGGACCCCAGGCAGGAGCAGGCAGGGGCAGGCAGGGCCATGCAGCACAGAGGGAAAAGGGTTCCCTCCCAACTGCTCTGGGTGCTGCTCAGCCTGGGGATGGATCCAGTTCTCCTCCTGCATCCCTGGGGGAGTGGGGGGATGTGTGCCTCCCACCTGCTCCTGCTGCAGGATAGGGTGGGAGCAGTGTCTGGGTGGGCAGAGCCGTATCCTGGCAGGTGCTGAGCACCACTCCAGGAGCATGGGGATCTGCAGAGTGGGGGAACAGGTTTTCTACCCCCAGCCATCTCTCCATCACCCCTTCCCTCGCATCCCCAGGGCCAGCACTGTCCCTGCCATCCCCTCCAGCCCGGTGTTGTGGGGTCGCAAGGGTGGTGCAGTGGCTGCGGGCACTGCACGGCGGTGGCAGCAGTGTCCCCCCCCGCGGCGGTGGCAGGGGCATGGCTGGCATTGCTCCCTGACACCCTATCTGCCAGGGCCCTGCTAGCCGTGGGCCCAGAATAGCAGCGCTGCTCCACAGTCAGCATGGAGCAACTCCCCGGTCCTGCTGCGTCCCAGGTACTGCCACGGTGGGTGGGGGGCCCAACCCGACAGCCCCCCATTTGGGGACAGGCCTCCCCAGGAGTGGAGAGATAAGGGGGGAGCTGGTGGTCCCCTTGCCATGGCCAGGCAGGCGTGGGGACAAGGACTCAGAGCACAGCCTGGCTGTCCTGCCTCGGCTGTCGCCAGCCCCTTGGGAAAGGTTGGGGACATTGGTGTGGGTTAGCCTCCTTCCCAGGGTTGGCTCTGGGCTCCTTAGGGAGAAGTCTCTGCACCTTTGTTATTGTAGCATGGCTTGTAAGCATTGGCTCTGCCAGCGGGTTTGTGGTCTGGGGTTGCTCTTCCTGCTACACGTGCTGCTTTGTTATGGTAGGGTCTCCTGGGGACTGTGGGGCATGGGATCAGCCCTGCTCACCTCCCCCCTGCCTGAGGCTGCCTCCCTGGTTATTGTTGGGTGTCCTGGGGTGGACCTGGTCCCTGGGGGGCAAGTGGGGCTGGTGGGGCTCCCATCATGGGAGGAAGCAGGACTGGGATTTACACCTTGGGGTTGGGAAAGGGAGAGGATGCGTGCAGAGCCACTGCGGGACGTGCTTGCCACCAACAGCGGAGTTGTCCTGCCATCTGCTGCCCTGACTAGGGGACCCCCACTGTCCCCCCGGAGTTGGGATACAAACTGGGTGTCCTGAGCTGGAGTCATCACGGGGGTGGCAAGCTCTGGGGGTCCTGGGTGGGCAGGGGGTTTCCCAGAGGGATGGGGGCTGAAACCAGCCCGTATCCCCACCCCAAAAGAAGGGTCCTCTCTGCATGGCTTGGGGGGTACAGGGCAGCTGGGTGGGAGCAGACAGCATCTACAGGGGGGGAGAGGCTGGGCTGGCTTCTGCTGACCCCCGCTCGCTGTGTGCCCCCTCAGGTGGAGCTTCTGGATGCTGCTGCCCTCCCTGAGGAGGAAGGTGGGTAGCAGGATACCTTTCATCTCCTCACTCCTCAGCTCCTTCCCAGCAGCTCCCAGTGTCCCCCAGGCTAGAGAGCTGCAGTGCTGTGTGCTGCCCCTGTGGAGTGGGGAACAGGGGGATTTGTGGGAAGCACCTGCTCCTGCAGCATCCCCCTGCTCCCCTGAGGCAGGAGGGTGTCGACACCTGGCAGCTCAGCTCACTGGCCAGGGCTGGGGCAGGTTTGCCCACAGGGTTCCCGAAGGCCCTGTGCCCCAGGGAGGAGCGGGAGGAGGAGGAGGAGGAAAAGGAAGAAGAGGACAGGCAGAGGAGCACAAGACCTGTCACCTTCACGCTGGGCAATGAGATGCTGGGGCTGGGCCCGAGCCCGGAGAATGAGTTTCAGAGCCCTGATGCTGAAGTCTACATGCACTTCATGAGGAGCCACTGCTGCTATGACGCCGTCCCCACCAGCTGCAAGCTCGTCGTCTTTGATGTCTCCCTGGAGGTGACAAAGCAGAGGATCGGTGGGGATGGGCAGGGGGGGAGCAGGCTTGGGGACCCTCTGACCCCCTCCCCACTCTGCTGGCAGATCAAGAAAGCCTTCGTGGCACTGGTGGCCAATGGGGTGCGTGCCGCCCCGCTCTGGGACAGCAAGACACAGAGCTTTGTGGGTGAGTGCCTGCAGTGCTGCCTGGCCCCTTCCCCTGCCTGGCAGCGAGGGGTGCGGGCAGCACTGTCAGCCCTGCGCATCTCCACAGGGATGCTCACTATCACCGACTTCATCAACATCCTCCACCGCTACTACCGCTCACCCCTGGTGAGTGCAGAGGGGAGGGTACAGGGGTTGGGGTGGACATGGGGCAGGGAGGGGCTGTCCCCATCTTTGCTAGTCCCCAGTTCCCTCTCTTGGTCCCTTTTTCATCACTAGACCATGACCAGGGGATGCTCTGGGCCAGCTCATCATTCACTTGGTGCCCCTTTGCCTGGCACCTAAGATGTGATCCCTGTGCTTAGGGTGATGGGGTGGGATGCCTAGGGAAGGGGGAAGTGCCCCAGAGTCCCCTCAGTCTCCTGTTGGGCCACTGACCAGAGCATCTTCCTGCCCTCAGGTTCAGATCTATGAGGTGGAGGAGCACAAGATTGAGACATGGAGAGGTAAAAAGCAAGGGGCAGTGGAAGTGTCTGGGCTGGGGATGTTGCGTGGGGCATGGAGGTGGGCCCTGGGGGTGTGGAGCTTCATGAGGGGGCTGGGGAACCCCCTCTCCCACCTCTCTCCCTTGGCAGAGGTGTACCTGCAGGGCTCCTTCAAGCCTCTGGTCTACATCTCCCCGAGCAATAGGTGAGCGCCTGCCCGCTGGGGGAGAGCACCCCCCCACGGGGGGTGTGCCCAGGATGCAGCCCTATCCCCCCACGATGTCCCCGTCACCCACAGCCTCTTCGATGCTGTCTACTCCCTGATTAAGCACAAGATCCACCGTCTGCCTGTCATTGAGCCCATCTCGGGCAATGTCCTGCACATCCTGACCCACAAGCGTATCCTCAAGTTCCTCCACATATTTGTGAGTTCTGGGACTCTGTGTACACACACATGGTGGGTGTGTGGGAGCACAAGCAAGGGTGTTGGGGTGTGTGTAGGTATCAGCCCAACTGTGCCCTGCCCTGCCGCAGGGCTCCACCATCCCCAAGCCACGCTTCCTGAAGAAAACCGTGCAGGAGCTGTGTGTTGGCACCTTCCGTGATGTGGCTGTTGTGCCTGAGACTGCCCCTGTCTACACTGCCCTGGAGATTTTCGTGGACCGACGTGTCTCTGCCCTGCCCGTCATCAATGATGCTGGTACCTGTGGATGGGCCAGTGATCCCCCCATCTCCCTTTGCCAGGGCCTCCGGCTGCATCCCTACCCAAAAAAACCCCTCCTGGCCTTTGGGCTGCCCTTTGGGGTAGAGGGGGAACATGGTGGGTTGTCCTCAGGACCCCCTCCCCTGCACTGTCTCTCCTTGCAGGGCAAGTGGTCGGCCTCTACTCCCGGTTCGATGTCATTGTGAGTACCCTGTGTGTTTGCATGCCCAGGCATGAGTGTGGCCCCTTGAATGCCACTGGTGGGGTGCTCACACCTGCCTGTGCCCATGTAAACCCCACACCACATGCAGCAACATGCATGTGCCAGTGCAGATCTGCCCCCATACATCCCCAGGGCTCCGTGTCCCCTGCTACGCTGGCCCAAGGGGGTGCAAGGACATGTTGGGGTGCTGAGCAGGGCCACCTCTACCGCAGCACCTGGCAGCCCAGAAGACCTACAACAACCTGGACATCAGCGTGCGGGAGGCCCTGCGGCAGCGCACCATCTGCTTGGAGGGGGTTCTCACCTGCTACCCCCACGAAACCATGGAGGACGTCATCGACCGCATGGCCAAGGAGCAGGTGAGTGGCTGGGGCACCTCGTACCAGCACCAGCCCCCCTGCCCACTGCCCAACCTGCCTGTGATGCTCTGCCTGCACCCACAGGTCCATCGCCTGGTTCTGGTGGATGAGAACCAGTACCCACGGGGCATCGTCTCCCTCTCCGACATCCTCCAGGCCCTTGTGCTCACTCCCGCAGGTATCGATGCTCTTAACTCTTAGCCCACGACGCTCCGTCTTTCTCCATTTGCACCCTCCATTTCTCTCCACTTCAGGTAGGCGCTGCCCCCCGCCAATGCGCGCCTGTCCCCTCCCCAACGCTGGGTCACCATCACCTCCCTGCTCGGGCCACTGGCCTCCACCCCAGCCAAACTGGCCCAGGGGATGGAGGAGGCTGGGGCTGGGGTCTGGCAGCGCTGGGTGCCCAGGTGGGGATGGCAGGACCTGGATGCTGTTTGTCCCTGGGGACACAAGGACCACAGGGGATCCCTCCTGGGGTCCTGATCCCAGGTGTCTGTGAGAAAGGATGGGGGCATCTGCCACGGAGACACCCCCAGACCCCCATCCAGGCAGTGTATGGGATGTGTGTTTTGCAGGTCCCTGGGCTTTGGGCTGGATGAGGGTTTTGGGGTGTGATGCACCCCAAGACAAAAAGCCCTCTTTTGACCTCGCCTCAAAGCACCCCCTGAGACCTGAGCCCCTCCAGTGCTATTCCTGGAGAACACAGAGCGGACAGACCCCCACTCGCACACTCCAGACATGTTACCCACCACTAGCCATGTGCACAGTGTGGCCAACGCATGGCTGGCAGAGCCCTCCACCCGCTCTGGCCCAGAAACGGCTTGCTCCAGGGACAGGGCTTGCTCCAGGGATGGGGCTCACTCCTGAGCTATGCTGGGACTGCACTGCCTGGCCACCTGCATCGCACTCTGGTCACCCACTACCTGGTGAGTCCTCGCTGGCAGTGGGTGGGCACAGTGCTGGCACCCACTGTGGCACCCATTTAGGGGTGAACTGGGGAAGAGGAAGCTGACCCTGGTGTCCAGCTGCTTCCCAAAGGTAATGATGCTTTTTTAAGGGTGCTGGTGGGGAACAGGCTTGGGATGACCTCATGCCCACCAGTTCCCCCAGAAGTGCTCAGCTTCTCCACACAGAAGGGAACCGAGAGCAGTGTGTGAACCATACCAGACATGGGACTCCCTCTCCCCTGACTTCCCCATCACGGTGCCTCTGCTCACCCCATCCTCTGGTACCCATGGGGTGGCTGTGCCGGGAGCTGCAAGGGGCCACCAGGATGTCCCTCTCTAGGCCAGCCCCTACCCTGGGGGCTTACATCCAAGCCAGGGATGGGTACAAGACCCCAGTCTCTACCGGGGCAGTCAGAGGGCCATGCTGCAGTGTGCCCAGCCCAGTGCCAGTGCCTACCAGGGGGTTATGGCCCTGCACACTCTCTCACCCCACAGGCATTGACCGAGCCTTGCTCTGAAGACACCAGGGAAGTGCCACCATCTCTGCTGACTCGGGGGCCTCTTGCATGGCCGTGGGGCTGTGGATGGAGGCCCTCTGCGGGGAGGACCTGCCTGCCCACACCGGTCCTGGGACTCGTCTTGAGTCTGGGGCCAAATCCTGCCAGCCTCGGGGTGTCAGGGATCGGGATAAAGGGGGTTCGGGTGTGCCTCCTGCCAGCAAGCACAGTGATGCTTGATTGGCACCATGCTGGAGGAGTCATGCCATGCCTACAGCTGGGCATGGGACACACATGGCCCTGCGGAAACTCAGCCACCCCTGTCCCATCCTGCTGCCGGATTCAAGCGCTTCAGCCACGGCTCCCCCCTGGTGAGCACAGTCCCGCCAGCTGTGCCCGGTAGCATAGGCTCAGCTGCACACAGAGGCTTGTTTATTGTAGGGTCACACAGGGCTGGAGCTCCTTGGCAGAGGCGCAGCCTGCGTGGGAGCCGGCACCAGTACAGGCACTTGCACGGGGACACTGTGCGTGTTTTGGGGTGGGAGGGGGGTATTTATTTATTTGCTGGTCTGTTCAGCCTTGTTGTAATAAATCAGCCTGCTCCAGGAACTGCTGCCTCGCCTTTCTGGGGTGCAGCTGGTCATGGCTCCTGCGGAGAGAGCTGGGCTGGGGAGGGGGTGACAGCTGCTTGGCATGGCTGGGGAACCCAGCCTGGGACACCAGCGAGCGTGGTGTGGGCACAGGGTGGCACCTCTACCCATCTGGGTAAAGCCAGGGAACAGGGATGTGGGGCATGCAGCCTTGATAGCTCCAACATGGCAGTGGTGTGCAGGTCCCCTCAGGGACACCCCAGGGATGTCAGCCTTGGTTCCAGCAAGGTTTCTGCCTGCTGCTTCCCTCAGTCCAGTTAGGATCCCCAAGCATCAGGAGGGTGAGGGGGGTTCGCTGTTCGGATGCCCCGTGCTCCAGCCCTCCAGGGCCCTGGGCAAGCAGCAATGCAGCCCCTGCCTCTGGCTGCTCTGAGACCCTGCAATGGCCCCGGATATCAGCCCCACTTCCTCACTTGGGGATGGGGGAAGCCGAGCCGATCCTCTCCCGCTGCTTCACCCAGAGTGAGTCCTGCCCCTATTCCCGTGATCCTGTATCAGCATCTCAGTGAAACAGGCTGATAGCGAAAGGTCCCGGGTGCTCCACACCCCTCCTGTGCTGGCTGGCCCTGCCAGGGACATGATACCAGTGCTGGGTGGTGACAAGCCTCCTCCCCAGCATGGGGGACGTGCATTGCTTCGCTTGCCCAGGCTGGCTCTGTCTCTCTGGACCAGGCGCAAACCCCCAACCCCCGCCAGCACTCGACTCTCCCCTGGCAGGCAGGGCGGGAAACTGAGGCACAGAGAAGTGACTGAGGCCAAGGTCAGCTGTTCAGAGAGGACCCAGACGTCCTGGCTTCAGGCACAGATCCACACGCAGCTACACAAGGACGGGACGAAGGAGACACCGAATGGCTGCAAGCCCCCTCCCCGCTTCCCCCCCACCCTGGCAGAGCTCCCAGGTCCCCGACACAGCCCAGCTGGGCACAGGATGGGGGGGATACAACCCCTTGCGGTGTGTGAAAGGCACAGCAGTTCCCCAAGCATCCTGCTGATTTGGGGTAGGGGGATACTAGTGCCCCAGGGACAAATTGGGGGTATCCCTTATCCACCTCATCTTCCCCACAGTGGGGCTGGGAGCTCCCTGGCCCAAGCTGGGCAGGAGGTGGGTGCTAGGGTGGGTTTGCCTTCCTGCCCCTCCTCCTGGGGCAGCGGGGGTCCCCACTCAGCACCCCTGTCTCTTATACACAT